GCTTAGAGGGTATAGGAGCCTGAGGAAAAGTGATATGCTTTATGAAGTCTGCTTTTTTTTTTTAAGAGACTAAACCTAAATGTAAATTCCACAGCTTAATTTTGTGATTGTTACCATGAGTGCATGGATATGTAGGAACAGTTTTTGTTAATTATCCAAGATGTTAACATAACTGAAGACATCCTGTCTAGCATATTGTTCCTGGAGTATCGCAACAGATTTTGTTTACTGAATACTAAGATAGCTTTCAGGAACCTTGGATGAGAGATTTACAATTCTTAATCTTGCATTTCTACCTCATCTCTAGCATAGGATTTCAAAGAATTTTACAAACATTTTTACAATACTCATATAGAGTAGGTAAGCACACCCATTTTACAGAAGGGTAAATTGACCCAATGAGACTGACATGGTTATGACTGTACAATGACAGTGTAACAGAAACCAGCTTGTCTGCATCCTGAGACCCTGTATTAACCATTTAAACTACCCACACTCCTATTCTAATGAGTACTGCTTGTTCAATGCTTTTTAGTTCTTTGCTTGAGAGTGGCAGTTTGGTGCTTGAACTAGCAATGTGTAAAAAATGCTATGTGGATAATAATCTGCAAACTGCCCACATGATGTCAGTTTAACCTACATGAATAAGGGCACATCTGACTATGAACTATAATTACATCACACTTCTCAGTATAATCCGTTTCATACTTTCTTATAAAAGGTGTTGGTAATATACGATGCTCAGTTTTAAAAAGGTTTATAAGCACAGCCATAGTGTGAGCAAACTTCACTTGTACAGTTCTGCTACTACATCTCCATTTTAACCTCCAGGACTCATATTTATGTCTGTCCTGTGCCCATGCCCTGTTATAGCTCTGCTAATATGCATCTGACACCTGACCTCCTGCAGCCCCTGCTATTCCAATGCTGCCAGCCCTCCAGAGCAACACTTGACAGCTGTTCTTTAAAGCCCAGATCCTACAAGCACTTAAGCATGTGCTTATCTTTACTTCCCTGTGTAGACCCACTGAAATCAAGGATTTATTTGAAATCAGTGGGACTCCTCAAGGCAGTAACATTATGCACATGACTATGTGTTTACAGGAACAGGGCCTACATTATGTGATGAGGACAATGGGGTGTTAGGAAGTAATAAGAGACCAACCAAACTCAGTACTTGTGGTCTTCTTAGCAGCTGGAGCCATGAAACATCAGTAGCAGCACTGCTGATAGTTGTACCTGAAGCTCTCCTTTTACTCAAGTAGTTTATGATACAAAAATAAATAAAGCAGAATGTCATCTTAGAAAAAACTGAGTAAGAAAGAATGGTTACAAGTGAGGATTTTAAATATCATTTTAATACAAAGTTTAAGCATATGCATCACTGTTTGTGGTGATTAATTTTAAAAGGTCTCTCTAGGATCACACATATCCCTGTTGCCCTTAGGACAGTCCCCATAGGATCTCTGTGGGGTACCTATATCCCATCCCCAGGGCAGTGTGGGTTTTTCTATAGGGTTGCTGTAGGGTATCTAGAGGGTTGCATATATCCCATTCGCAGGGAGGGCAGTGTGGGTTTTTCTGTAGGGTCGCTGGAGGGTGTTTGTGGGGTCGCAGATATCCCATCCCCCAGGGAGGGCAGTGTGGGTTTTTCTGTAGGGTCGCTGGAGGGTGTCTGTGGGGTCGCAGATATCCCATCCCCAGGAAGGGCAGTGTGGGTTTTTCTGTAGGATCGCTGGAGTGTGTCTCCGGGGTCTCAGATATCCCATCCCCAGGGAGGGCAGTGTGGGTTTATCTGTAGGATCGCTGGAGGGTGTCTAGGGGGTCACAGATATCCCATCCCCAGGGAGGGCAGTGTGGGTTTATCTGTAGGATCGCTGGAGGGTGTCTAGGGGGTCGCAGATATCCCATCCCCAGGGAGGGCAGTGTGGGTTTATCTGTAGGGTCGCTGGAGGTTGTCTTTGGGGTCGCAGATATCCCACCCCCAAGGAGGGCAGTGTGGGTTTATATGTAGGGTTGCTCTAGGGTATCTAGAGGGTTGCATATATCCCATCCCCAGGGAGGGCAGTGTGGGTTTTTCTGTAGGGTCACTGGAGGGTGTCTAGGGGGTCGCAGATATCCCATCCACAGGGAGGGCAGTATGGGTTTATCTGTAGGGTCGCTGGAGGTTGTCTTTGGGGTCGCAGATATCCCACCCCCAAGGAGGGCAGTGTGGGTTTATATGTAGGGTTGCTCTAGGGTATCTAGAGGGTTGCATATATCCCATCCCCAGGGAGGGCAGTGTGGGTTTTTCTGTAGGGTCGCTGGAGGGTGTCTAGGGGGTCGCAGATATCCCATCCCCAGGGAGGGCAGTGTGGGTTTTTCTGTAGGGTCAGTGGAGGGTGTCTCCGGGGTCGCAGATATCCCATCCCCAGGGAGGGCAGTGTGGGTTTATCTGTAGGATCGCTGGAGGGTGTCTCCGGGGTCGCAGATATCCCACCCCCAGGGAGGGCAGTGTGGGTTTATCTGTAGGGTCGCTGGAGGGTGTCTCCGGGGTCGCAGATATCCCATCCCCAGGGAGGGCAGTGTGGGTTTTTCTGTAGGGTCAGTGGAGGGTGTCTCCGGGGTCGCAGATATCCCATCCCCAGGGAGGGCAGTGTGGGTTTATCTGTAGGGTCAGTGGAGGGTGTCTCCGGGGTCGCAGATATCCCATCCCCAGGGAGGGCAGTGTGGGTTTATCTGTAGGGTCGCTGGAGGGTGTCTCCGGGGTCGCAGATATCCCACCCCCAAGGAGGGCAGTGTGGGTTTATATGTAGGGTTGCTCTAGGGTATCTAGAGGGTTGCATATATCCCACCCCCAGGGAGGGCAGTGTGGGTTTTTCTGTAGGGTCGCTGGAGGGTGTCTAGGGGGTCGCAGATATCCCATCCCCAGGGAGGGCAGTGTGGGTTTATCTGTAGGATCGCTGGAGGGTGTCTAGGGGGTCGCAGATATCTCATCCCCAGGGAGGGCAGTGTGGGTTTATCTGTAGGGTCGCTGGAGGTTGTCTGTGGGGTCGCAGATATCCCATCCCCAGGGAGGGCAGTGTGGGTTTATCTGTAGGGTCGCTGGAGGGTGTCTCCGGGGTCGCAGATATCCCACCCCCAGGGAGGGCAGTGTGGGTTTTTCTGTAGGGTCGCTGGAGGGTGTCTCCGGGGTCGCAGATATCCCATCCCCAGGGAGGGCAGTGTGGGTTTATCTGTAGGGTCGCTGGAGGGTGTCTAGGGGGTCGCAGATATCCCACCCCCAGGGAGGGCAGTGTGGGTTTATCTGTAGGGTCGCTGGAGGGTGTCTAGGGGGTCGCAGATATCCCATCCCCAGGGAGGGCAGTGTGGGTTTATCTGTAGGGTCAGTGGAGGGTGTCTAGGGGGTCGCAGATATCCCACCCCCAGGGAGGGCAGTGTGGGTTTATCTGTAGGGTCGCTGGAGGGTGTCTAGGGGGTCGCAGATATCCCACCCCCAGGGAGGGCAGTGTGGGTTTATCTGTAGGGTCAGTGGAGGGTGTCTAGGGGGTCGCAGATATCCCATCCCCAGGGAGGGCAGTGTGGGTTTATCTGTAGGGTCGCTGGAGGGTGTCTAGGGGGTCGCAGATATCCCATCCCCAGGGAGGGCAGTGTGGGTTTATCTGTGGGGTCGCTGGAGGGTGTCTGGGGGGTCGCAGATATCCCACCCCCAGGGAGGGCAGTGTGGGTTTATCTGTAGGGTCGCTGGAGGGTGTCTAGGGGGTCGCAGATATCCCACCCCCAGGGAGGGCAGTGTGGGTTTATCTGTAGGGTCAGTGGAGGGTGTCTAGGGGGTCGCAGATATCCCATCCCCAGGGAGGGCAGTGTGGGTTTATCTGTAGGGTCGCTGGAGGGTGTCTAGGGGGTCGCAGATATCCCACCCCCAGGGAGGGCAGTGTGGGTTTATCTGTAGGGTCAGTGGAGGGTGTCTAGGGGGTCGCAGATATCCCACCCCCAGGGAGGGCAGTGTGGGTTTATCTGTAGGGTCGCTGGAGGGTGTCTAGGGGGTCGCAGATATCCCACCCCCAGGGAGGGCAGTGTGGGTTTATCTGTGGGGTCGCTGGAGGGTGTCTAGGGGGTCGCAGATATCCCATCCCCAGGGAGGGCAGTGTGGGTTTATCTGTAGGGTCGGTGGAGGGTGTCTAGGGGGTCGCAGATATCCCATCCCCAGGGAGGGCAGTGTGGGTTTATCTGTAGGGTCACTGGAGGGTGTCTAGGGGGTCGCAGATATCCCACCCCCAGGGAGGGCAGTGTGGGTTTATCTGTAGGGTCGCTGGAGGGTGTCTCCGGGGTCGCAGATATCCCATCCCCAGGGAGGGCAGTGTGGGTTTATCTGTAGGGTCGCTGGAGGGTGTCTAGGGGGTCGCAGATATCCCATCCCCAGGGAGGGCAGTGTGGGTTTATCTGTAGGGTCGCTGGAGGGTGTCTAGGGGGTCGCAGATATCCCACCCCCAGGGAGGGCAGTGTGGGTTTATCTGTAGGGTCGCTGGAGGGTGTCTAGGGGGTCGCAGATATCCCATCCCCAGGGAGGGCAGTGTGGGTTTATCTGTGGGGTCGCTGGAGGGTGTCTAGGGGGTCGCAGATATCCCACCCCCAGGGAGGGCAGTGTGGGTTTATCTGTGGGGTCGCTGGAGGGTGTCTAGGGGGTCGCAGATATCCCATCCCCAGGGAGGGCAGTGTGGGTTTATCTGTAGGGTCGCTGGAGGGTGTCTAGGGGGTCGCAGATATCCCATCCCCAGGGAGGGCAGTGTGGGTTTATCTGTAGGGTCGCTGGAGGGTGTCTCCGGGGTCTCACCCAGCGCGGCAGTCCGGTCCCGCCAGGGTCTGACAGACGCTGCCCCGGGCGCCGCAGGGGAGGCCCGGGCCGGCGGCCGGCGCAGCGGGCGGGGCGGGGAGGCCGCTCTGCCCCGGAAGTCGGCGCGGCTCAGCTGACAGCGGCGGGGCGGAGCGGGAAGATGGCGCTGCGGACGGGGCCGGGAGCTGGCGGCGCCGGGGCCACGGGTGGGGGCGGAGTAGCGGGGGCGGCCGGAGCCGGCAGCGCCGGGTAGGTGCGGGAGAGGGCGGGGGCCCGGGCAGCCCCGGGGGCTGGGCGGGGGAGTCGGGGTCTCGGCCCGGCGCGGCCTGTGGGGGGCGGGGTAGGGCTTGGGAAGGGCTGGGGGGTTGATGGGTGGGGAGAGAGTGATGCGGGGGGGGGGGGGTGACTGGGGCTGCGGGAGGGGCTCGGGCTGGGGCGGTGAGGGGCTGGAGCTGCGGCTGGGGCGGTGAGGGGCTGGGGCCGCAGAGGGGGTGTCGAGCTGGGCGGTGAGGGGCTCGGGCTGCGGGGGGGGGTCGAGCTGGGCGGTGAGGGGTTAGGGCCGCGGGGGGGGGGGTCGGGCTGGGGCGGTGAGGGGCTGGGGCTTGTGGGGGGGGGGTCGGGCTGGGGCGGTGAGGGGCTGGGGCCGCAGAGGGGGGGTCGAGCTGGGCGGTGAGGGGCTCGGGCTGCGGGGGGGGGTCGGGCTGGGGCGGTGAGGGGCTGGGGCTTGCGGGGGGGTCGAGCTGGGCGGTGAGGGGCTGGGGCTGCGGGGGGGGGGGTCGGACTGGGGCGGTGAGGGGCTGGGGCTTGTGGGGGGAGTCGAGCTGGGCGGTGAGGGGCTGGGGCTGCGGGGGGGGTCGGACTGGGGCGGTGAGGGGCTGGGGCTTGCGGGGGGTCGAGCTGGGCGGTGAGGGGCTGGGGCTTGCGGGGGGGGTCGGACTGGGGCGGTGAGGGGCTGGGGCTTGCGGGGGGGTCGAGCTGGGCGGTGAGGGGCTCGGGCTGCGGGGGGGGGGTCGGACTGGGGCGGTGAGGGGCTGGGGCTTGCGGGGGGGTCGAGCTGGGCGGTGAGGGGCTAGGGCTGTGGGGGGGGGGGGGGTCGGACTGGGGCGGTGAGGGGCTAGGGCTGTGGGGGGGGGGGGTCGGACTGGGGCGGTGAGGGGCTAGGGCTGCGGGGGGGGGTCGGACTGGGGCGGTGAGGGGCTGGAGCTTGCGGGGGGGTCGGACTGGGGCGGTGAGGGGCTGGGGCTTGCGGGGGGTCGAGCTGGGCGGTGAGGGGCTAGGGCTGCGGGGGGGGGTCGGACTGGGGCGGTGAGGGGCTGGGGCTGCGGGGGGGGTCGAGCTGGGCGGTGAGGGGCTGGGGCTTGCGGGGGGGGTCGAGCTGGGCGGTGAGGGGCTGGGGCTGCGGGGGGGGTCGGACTGGGGCGGTGAGGGGCTGGGGCTTGCGGGGGGGGGTCGGACTGGGGCGGTGAGGGGCTGGGGCTTGCGGGGGGGTCGGACTGGGGCGGTGAGGGGCTGGAGCTTGCGGGGGGGTCGGACTGGGGCTGGGGCTTGCGGGGGGGGGTTGGGCTGGGGCGGTGAGGGGCTGGAGCTTGCGGGGGGGGGTCGGACTGGGGCTGGGGCTTGCGGGGGGGGTTGGGCTGGGGCGGTGACGGGCTGGGGCTGCGGGGGGGGGGTCGGACTGGGGCGATGCGGGGCTGGAGGGACTATTTGGACTGTATGGGAGGAGAGGGGTTTGGCTTGCTGGTTCACTTTGGTTTTTCCTTGTCTAAACACTGTGCCTCCATGCTTTTGGTTATGGGGTAGTAAATGTTGCTTACAGCAGGAGTGTGATAGTTTGTGCGTGTTGTGGTGTGTGTGTGTTTGGGGGGGGGCTGCTGTGACCTGTTTGTGTGGATACTTCTCTCTCTCCCCTATTGATGTGGAGGAGTCTTCCTGCTGTCAGCAGTACATGAGGCAGGGTGGAGTGGTTGTGGTGGGAGAGGGAGATATTGGAAAATGAGAAGTATTATAGCCTCTGTGTTATGTTTTGAGTGGGATAGGAGGCTAATCTTTGTATTTCTCCTTTCAAACTGGGAATTGATTAGAGATTTCTGTTTAAGTGAAATATTTATAGGGTTTAAGATTATAACATTTTTCTGTGAAAGGACAGAGATGTAGGACTGAGTCAGTCTGCTTTTGATAAGTGAAGTTGTATTAATCAGATATTCCTGGATACTTAAGTAAAATCCTACCTGCTTTGTGTTGGCATCAAAGATCCCATGGTAGTTCTCATGAAAGCAGGCATTTGCCCTGGTGACCTTCACCAAAATCACACACCCATACTTGCGTAGCGTGCTTTCCTCCAGCTGTCTGCCAACTTGCCACATTAGATGTGTCTGCATTTCATTAGAGCACCTGGGTGTGTAATTTGTAAGGCACTTTAGAATACTGCAGGATGAGAAGCGCAACAATATATATAAATCTGAAATATAATTATTCTGATCTGCTGCTTAAACATCCATCCTTTCTTTACAGCAGCACTGTCAATTTAGAATTATGCGTTGTAACCACTTCTACTTTTGTAAACACCAACCTTACTAATGAGACCGTAGATTGTGAAAAATGAAAGGATTCCAAAATTCCAAATTACTTGTCACTATGCTTTTTGTAGCTTTATTCAATTGTCTGAGCTTAGGTGATGGAAATCAGTGAAGTCAGTTTCATTATGGCTTATAGTTAGTTTCACTTAGAGGATCTTGGGGCTTCTGAGTTAGACACCTGGTATGAAAAACACATTCGCCTTGTCAGTATTACTGCTTTACAGGCTCTGCACTCATTAGGAATTATGGGTGCAAAAACCCTCAACTATAGACACAGTCTAGGAGTTTGAGTTGGGGAAAGAGTTCATCCTGTACTTTGTTGCTGTTCTTGAAGCTATCACATGGATTCTTCATAGTAAAATCTAAATACAAAAGAAAATGAGGGGTTTTTTCCTCTTTATCGTGCTGTTTGAGTGAAGCTGATTACTGGAGTCCTGTACCTGAAACTAGAGTACCTATTATGAGAAATTTACTGTTGAATGATACGATAATATTAAAGTGATACTCCAAATGGCATTGAGACTATTGTCAAAAATTTTCTGAGGAACTTCTGTAGGATATTATTGCTCTTGAACTTCGTCACAGAAATCTTCACTTTCTCTTTTTTAAATGATAATGCTTTTTAACCACACTTCTGTTCCTTATCTCATATACAGCACATAGTGAAATAAGTGTGTTGAATATCTGTATGTTTCTGCATATGTTGCATTTTAGTGCTATATCACCAAAAGTATTACTTGCCACTTATATAAATATAGGCGTTTGGGTACAACACTGAGTGCGGTTGAAATATTTACAAATGAATTATATACCATTGTGTAGAGTAATGTTGAATATGAAGCTATTCTGAAAGGGCATGCCTGATAGAAAAGAGCTGTAATATATATTTTATAAAATGGAACCATGGCCTATTATAAAGTATAGATCATGCTCATTGTATTTAGAATTGATTTCCAGATAGTTAATCTCCCCTTTCATCCCAAGACAGTGTAATGCACAAGGCAGACTAATAATTTTAGCGCAGAACTTCTGGAAATGAGTCAGTTCCTCCTTTCACTTTTTTCCTATTGATATAGGATGCCTGTTTGTTCAATAAGTAATTTTCTTGTTAATATAAGAAGTTTTTATAGGGTAAAATATGTGTTGTTTAAGTGTAAATGAACTGAAGTTACTTAGACATTGTTCACATTAATAAACGGTAACTGATATTTTTAAAAAGTATGTATCAATAACTTCTTCCTGTAACTCCCTAGTGATGCAGTGTCTAGGAGTTTTTGTTTTTTTTTAACTTGATGTGTATATACATTTTCTCTTCTGTTTATGTGTGTGTATATTTGAATAGCTGTTTAACACTTCTTTGTATACATGTATATAGATACATCTTCCATACAAGAATTCTGATGTTTTACATTTTCTCTTATTGCTAAAAAGTAGCTAAACGCATAACTAAATCTTTGACTGAGCAAGGTCAACAGTGAATCCTAACACACATTCAGAATTTTGATTCAGAGAAACCAACTTTTTCATTTTTGTTTAGTTCTTGCAGTTAGCCTCTAATGAGAGTTTTTACAGATGCTTATAAATAAATCACTACTTAACTCTAGAAAGGGATAAATATTTAATGATCTGGCCTTTATTTGCTTATAACATGTGCTGGTACTGTAGTGTGCTTGTCCAGATTACATTGCATTTCAGTTAAACTAGAACAGAACCTTATTTCTACCACCAGAATCCTCACAAGGATATTTTAAAATAGTTGCGGATACTGTCTTTGATACAAGTCCTACCTTAGAGTGTATAGCTCTAAAATAGCATTAATTTTGCTAATTATTAATTTACTACTTGTATTCATCTGTAAATTGGACCCTGGAGTGAATAATTTATACACACGGGAAAGGTGATAGGTGTAGGTCAGAAACTGTGTGTTTCTGAACTTCTGTATAAATGTTATGTGAGTATATTGTTGGCAAAAAAGTGCCATCTTAGCAGCTGTAGAAACTAAAAGATCTTGATCTACAGTTGAAGCAAAACTTGGGCTGCAATCTGACTGCCCCACATTGTTTTGTCAATGTGCCTTAGCCTTGACCTATAGGGAACCACAGCTAGGAGCAAGAGGGGAGTTCAGTTGTTGGCCTCCCTGCTGTGACTTGAGACAAGGTTGCCAGCTAATGCCTGCTGTGTTTTTTATGATGTCAGTAGCCCTCCACCCAGAACTGGACTAAGGCAACCAAGTTTGTTTCACATAGGTCACTGAACTTTCATCAATTAATAACAGCTTTTGGTCACAGCTGACCTGGGTTGGATTCCACTCAAGCAGTCCAGTCCTAGTGCTTGCTTCTAGATTTGGCAAAACATTCCTATGCAGACCACTCTCCATAGGGTCTGTAGGAGACATTTCTATTAATAGAGAACCCTAAAATTGTGGTGGTGGTGGTGGTAGGGCCAGACTTACTAACTTATCCTTTGTTGGGTACATGTGTATGTTACAGTTTTGTGAATGGAGGAATTAATGTGTGGCCTAATGGTTAGGGCAGAATGAGAAGTTGAGGAACTAAGAGTATCATGAGTTCAAATTTGAAGTTATATTAATTATTATTTGTATTACTGGAGAGCTTAAGAGCCCCAGTTATAAACTAGGGCCCAGAAATAAAGAGTAATACAGATTGGGTTACT